TGGAAAGTGACAGTATTCACCGTCTTTTTTTTTTTGTCAAATTACTCTGGCTAGGCTGCGCAAGAGACTCCAATAACCGCAATAGACTGAGCAACCAAGCAAAAATCTTACATATGTCCATTTGAAAGGAGGCAGTTACTTTTTAGTATAAACAGTAAAAGAACAAAACTCCTAAGGCAAATCAAAACTTTGGTACATCTAGCAGTCTATGTGTGACCTCACTTCAACAGAAAGCCACAGATAATGACCTGGCTATAGTCATCTTCTCCTGCTTGAATTTCCTTAACACATATAACAGCTCATAATTACAAATGTGCCCGACCCAGAAGCTTGGCCTCTATCCTCTCCAAAATGTAAGATTTTACATCTGTGGATCCTTTTACTTAACATGGTCCACACAAAAGTCACGCTGAAAAGGAATGACTTGTAACAAGGTCTTTTAAAGATTATTTGTTGTCCTATTTTCACAGGGAATTGACAGATAGAACAGTAATATCTGGTGTTGAAAATTAATTTCAGAAGCTGACTCCATCTCATGATGAATCTCCCTCTTTATTCATGGAAAAATATTACACTGGTTTGCATATCTTCATCTAAACAGTCAATATTTTACATAGGAAAGCCATGGAAGCAAGAATTAACGCTCTGATGCTGAGAGCAGTGATATGAATTAATCTTCATAAGATGATTAATGCTATACCACAAGATCTCCCACAATGGTTTCCCTACTAAAATATCGAAGAATCATCAACTTGACAAGTTCCAGGGACAAAGGAATATGCTTGAATGTATCGCTTAACACCATGCTGCCCTACTCAAAGGAGCTGTGCTGAGACCTATAGTTGGAATCTGGTAGATGGAATCAAATATACAAGAAACCACATCTGCTGAGAAAGAGAAGAGTTTGTATTCAGCTTTCAGCTAAGTTCCTTGAGCAAACACAGCAGAGGAAACTCTAGTTGAGATACATTACATCCTTATAAAATATTATAAAGTATTCCAAGTAGGAGACAAGTAGAACATTCCCTTGTTGAGTGTTTGATGCATCTTGCAGTTGGGATTGTCTGTGACCTGTTGGGAAAAGGTTTCTTTCACAGGAAGTAACACATACATAAACTAAACCAGTTCTTATTCGAAGAAAAAGTTACTGTCAGCACCAGATGCTCAATTAGAAGTGCTCAGAATTCTTTACCAGCTACAAAAGGAAACAGGAAAGATTATCCAAGAGAAAAAAGAAGGGGGGAGATATAAAAATAAATAAATAAATCAGAAAAGTCACTCAGTTTTGCTGCTTGGAACAGCAGCAAAACATATCAGCCTATAATGATAGGTATAGTAGAAAGTATTTTTCTGCAAAATTAATACTTCTTCCCAGAGTATTCTAAAAGCATCTAGAAAGGCAGTTCTAGCTGAGCTTAACATTAAGGTTTTCTCCTATACCAATGTATTTCTAACTGACTCTATTTATAACTTCTTCTGCTTTGCTGAAGCTAAAAAAAAAAAAAATTATTCCCTTTCCTTCTGAGCCACTTTGATATTTTACAGGATTGAAGCCATGGTGATAAGGAGGACTGTGATAGCCCTAGATTTCAACATGGTCTTCCTATCAACTAGTCTTCTACAACCATCACTTGAGAGTATTCCCAAGACAAACAGTTTTAAGTTATCTGGGCTCTGGTGAATTCTTATCCAAAATTAAATTCTGTGCCAGCTGAAGGGGTCACAACAAAAAAAGAGCTCCACTGTTTACCACACCTTAATCCTTAAAGTCTGGAGAGGAGTTAAAAGAATTAAAACCAAAAAAAAAACCCAAACCCCCACCAACACTACCCCCCAAACCCACCTCTTTATATCCCAATATTCCAGTTTCTGGCTCATTTTTTATTCCACTCCTAAAAATCTGCTGCTTAGAACCATATAAATCCATAGCAAACATCCAGAAATGCCAACAGAAGTACAATAGCTCTACTGAAAAAATATACAATCTCCTTTGTATTTCTTCTTTTTTCATTGGCGGTAAAGGTGTATGCCCCAATATTCATGCATGTCAGATTTGATTACTATCAAATTTCTTGATTAAAAAGGTATGCAATGTGTTTAGTCATTCAAGTCTTTCTTAGATCATACAGAAGCTTTACCACCTTTTCTATCCAAAGACAAATCATCAGTGAATTTTACTGTACAACAGCAAAGAAAAATTAGACTAAGAATTTTAGTCACTATGATTTCAGGAACTTAATATTGAGACTGCCTAACCTGAATAGGCAGAGATGCAAAAGCTTCTTTAATCTCATGATGCTTAGGCTGCT